TAAACAAAATAACTGTTATTAATACATTTAAAGAAAAAAATGATATCTGAGGGCTCAAAAAGCTTAAGGTAGAACAAAACAAGGCACTCCTGCTTCCTCCCTCACGCAGCAGAAGGTTAATGAGAAAACAAGGGCTAGGCAAGAGCCCTGTCAAATTCCCAAGCAGCCCGCATCCATGTACACTCACACTTCATTAGCATCTCTGTGGGAGACAGAAGGGTACCTTGCAAGGCAAAAAAAAACCTATTAGGAGGGGGCTCGAGGGGTAAGATGAAAAAAGAGTGGATCTACAGGAGAGGAAATGGGAAGGATGCTGTGTATGGGCGAGCTCACTGTAGGAAGAGTGGGTAAAGAAGTGCACAGGGGCTCAAACCTCCCCAGACAGAACCAGCCCACCTGGCCACTGCTTGCCTGAGGAAAGATGCATTTCTGAACAGCTGCTTATTTCTGACAGCTCTGCTGCCTGTTCATCACGGAAGTTAAAGCTGAAGGTTTCCCTTGCACACTTTGATGCTGGGGCTGGGGGTTGGCGGGGTCGGTGCGTGCGGTGCAGCCAGCAGCAAGAGCAGGCTCCTGCCTTCCAGGAGGGGATTGAGAGCCTCTGTGTCACAGCCCTGCAGACATCTGTCCTCCTGCAGAGCTGCAGTGCTCCTGAGCCCCTCAGCCCACCCGTGTCAGCAGCACTGCCTCTGGACCTTTGTCTTCTCTGCACTCCTGCACCGCTCTGTGTGACATCTCCAGAAATCTTATCAACCCCATTTGAACACAGATAATTAACTGCATTGAGACTTTGGACAGAGTGGCTCTGCATGAACCTAGCAGCAAACAGCGGGGGAACTGCTGGCAGCACGGCGGGCACAGCACCAGGCTGCTGGAGCTGGCAGGGACGAGCAGGGTTCGATTTTAATACACTGCCACTTCTGAACTAATAGAGCGAAATACAAGTGACATTGTATGCCAAACTGGCACTGACAACTACACTTCATGCCCTGGCTGGATATTTCAAGGTGATGTCAGATTATAGATTATCAAACTGCCATTTACAAAGCCTTCATCTCCACATCCCAAGCACTGTCTACAGAGACAAAACGTCGGTCACATGCAGTGGGCCCCATCCTCCCTCCTCTGCCATCACCTGCGCTGGGAGCAGAAGTTCCCTGGCACAGAGGGCTGTGTCCTGAGCTGCACGGCCACATCCAGCCCTGAGGAACAGCTTCCAGCCCTGCTCCCAGCACTAAGGGACAGCACCCGAGACCATACAAGTTGCTCTCATCTTAGGAGCTGTACTACACAAGACCACAAGTGCTCAGAGCCCAGGCTTCCCATCTTGTTAGAGAATTAAGTTATTGGCACTCGGGAGTGTCTCTGAGGATGGCAGAAAGATACCTGTGGTGCTCACACCTAACCCAGCTGCACTCTGCTACCACTTGGCTCTGAGACACTGCAGACAATCAGCTGATCTCATCGTGTGAGCAAAGTGCTACTCAAGAAGAAGAATAAACAAATTAATGGCAGAAATAGCACGGGAACTGAGAGGTAGAGGACGCATTTATCACTCTGGAGTTGCACTGCAGCTCAGCCACACGATGCCAACAGTCAGACAGGGCTGCACCATGCACAGGGCCATACAGAGACTTTCCAGCCTCTTACTGCCCCACACCTGGCTGCTCCTCGAGCACGCTGTGCTGAGGGTAACACTTAGCTTTTCTGCTGTGTCTTCCTCAAAGCCACATTAAGCACCTGGGTTCTGCTGGACCTGGTGTGCACACAGCAGTGGGGGTGAGGGCTGTGCAGGGCTGACAACAGAAGAGATCAGGAAAAAAATCCACATAGCCAATGGCATGCAAACCTGCACAGAAACCTGAAATCCAACAGCCTCGTGCTCCTTCCCACCCACCCCTGCTCCACACCAGGCAATGCCCACTCTGTGCAGGGGAATTCCCTGAGCTCTAAGAGAGCAGCACACTTGGGATTCCAGATAATGGAGAGCACCGCACTTCCCCGCGGATTCCAACTTTTCTTGAGCACAAACAGGCACACACACACCACACAGCTGGCTTCACTTCCAACTGCCGCAACCAGGCAAAGCGAGGGAAGAGAAGGCAGCACCCAAGCCCAGCCCCACACGCTGACAGCACTGCCCAGCTCTCTGAGGGCACTAACCTGGAGCCTCACCGCCCCGCTCTGATAGTCCCATACAGATGGAAGCTCTGATTCTCTCAAACAAAACACGGGGTTTGTTGCCAAAGAGATCTTTGCAAGGCACCCAGCTGAGCCGCAGGCAGACTGAGCGGTAGGCAGCAGTGAGACCATGCCGTGCTGCACACACACCCCTGCTGAAGCCCCCGCTTTTCAACTCTCGAGACAAGCACGCTTTTCCCTACACTGAACATCTGTGTTTAATCGTACCCCATTACACCTCACAAGCACCAGCAGCCCCGCTCCTGCCTTTTGCAGGACCGTCCGTGGCTGCACGCAGCCCAGGCAGGCACTGTCAGAGGTCAGCTGCAGCATTAGTGCCATTTTTCATCTGCTTTATTTATTTAAATCCTACCCGAGCTGCATGGCATTGGAAGCATTCACTTCTCATAGAATCATGGAGTCTTTAAGGTTGGAAAAGACCTCTAAGATTCCCAAGCCCACTCCCACTGTGCCCACTGACCACGTCCCCCAGTGTCACTTCTCCACCTTCCTGGAACACCCCCAGAGATGGTGACCCCAGTGCTCCCTGGACAGCTGTGCCACCGCATCACCGCTCTTTTGGAGAAGAAATATCTCCTAATACCCAATCTGAACACATTTTTAATTTAAAGCACCTGAAAAAGGATTCACAGCTCCTACGTCTGCGGGGAGAGGTCTCTGTCCCAGAGCAGAGCACACAAATCCCTGAGATGACCCCAAAAGGCCCAGCACTCCGAGGTGCTCAGTGCACATCCCCGCTGTCTGTGTAACAAACACCCTCCTCCTGCACTCTGCTCCCTACCAATGCCCGGCGCTGCTGGGGCAGAGGTGTAGGGCCATCCCAGCCAGCTCAAGGATGTTACTGGGGCAGCAGCAAGGTTATGGGAGCAGCTGCCCCCCACTGCCCTGCTGCTGGTCTGCTCAGTGCTAGAGAGGTTCAGGGAACCTTCACCATCTGCACCTGAATGTTTTTTTCCCTGGCGTGGGACCCCCGCCTGGGCAGAGCACGGAGCCGGGCACAGCCAGGCTGAGATCCGTGCTGCGCCTCCGGAGGGTCTGCAGCTGAGGGGTGTCCTATGGCACCGGCTGGTGCGGGACGTGGGGGAGAGCTGTGGGTCCTACGTGCCCCGGGCTGGAGCGATGCGGGGCTGGGGGAGGAGACAGGAGCGGGAAAGTTTGGGGAGGGAGAAAGGGGGAATTAGGGAAAGGGCAAAAGGGGAACTGGGGAAGGGGGAATTAGGGAAGAGAGGATAGGAGATCGCTGCTGTCACCGACTCCCCGCAGTCAAGCGCGCCGGGTACCGCGGACAGCGCGATCCGCCGCCCCTCCCCGCCCGCCCGTCCCGCCGCGGTGCCGACCTGTTGCGCGTCCCGCCTGCTCCCCGCTCCGGCCAGCGCCCGTCTCGCCTAGAGGCTCCTCCTGCGGATCAGCCAGGCCAGCGCGACCGCGGGCGTGAGGGCGCACAGCAGGCACACGGCGGCGGCCAGGCGGCGGCCGGCCCAGCTCGGGCCCCGGCCCCTCGCCTTGCCCCGCGCCGCGCGCTGCTCCAGCTCATCGGCCACGCGGCGCAGGCGAGCGGCCACCAGGCGGGCGGCGGCCGAGGGCCGGGCGGCGCGGCCGGGGCTGCAGGGGCAGGGCGCGGGGGGGCCGCCGCGCAGCGCGCACGGGCACATGGCTGAGCCGCCGCTCGCCGCCGAGTGCCGCGGCGTGTGCGGGAGGGAGGGAGGGAGGCGGCGGGCGGGGGCCGGGGGGGTTACATCATCCCCCGCGGGGCGGTGCTCGGCGGCGGAGGGGAGCGGGGGTGGAGGAGGTGTGGGGATGGAGAGTAGTGGGGGACGGAGTGGGGATGACGGAGGGATGGGGGGGTGTTGGGGTGGGGATGCGGGGGATGTGGGGGTGGTGCGGGAGGGGGGAGCGGGGTGGATTAGGGGACAGAACGTTGGGGAAAGAAGGCAGGGTGGGAATTGGGGGGGCAGAGTGGGGGTGTACTATGAGAAGCTGGGGGGACAGTGGGATGTGGGGCAGAGGACAGAGGATAACGGAGTGGGGGGACTGCAGGGTGCAGGTGGGTGTGGGAGGAGGCGCGGTGGGAACTGAGGGGCAGGGGACGTGGGGATAGGAGGGCTGGGTGGGAAGTGATGGACGGGGGTACAGAGTGGGGTGAAGGGACAGTTTGGGGTGTGCTGTGAGAAGTGAGGGACTGGCGGGGCAGGTGGGTGTGGGGTGCAGCTTCGGTGGGAGAGGAGAGGAGAGGAGAGGAGAGGAGAGGAGAGGAGAGGAGAGGAGAGGAGAGGAGAGGAGGGACAGTGAGGGTGTGGGATGGGGACACTGCGGGAATTTGAGGGATAAGGGGGTGGGAAAGCAGCGTAGGAACTGAGGGAGGGGGAATACAGGCTGGGCAAGGAAACAGTCTAGGGGTTGTACTGAGAACTGAGGGTCTGGGTGGTGGGGCAGGTGATTGGGGGATGTGGGGGAAGCTTTGGTGGGACAGGATCCAATTGGGATGGGGGAGAGGGGTAGTGTGGGATCAGAGGTCAGAGTGCATGTTGGTGGGGGAAAGGGACAGTGTTCGTGTACTGAGACATCTGAGACCTGGGAACAGAGTTACTGGGAGTGCAGAGATGGAGGTAAATGTGGATGAGAGGGGCAGGCTGTGGGTGTGTGTGGGGGGGGAGTTTAGGTGGGAGGTGAGGGATTTTGGGGGACAGCGTGGGCTGAGGGGAGACGGTGAGGTGGGGGTCAGCGTGGAAATGGAGTGACACGGGGACAGCGTGGGAAGGGGCGCTGTCTGGGGGGGTATCCGGGGGGGTACTGTCACAGCGTGGGGATGGGGGGGTTCAGGGAGCTGGGGATGGAGTGGGAGTGACTGAGAGAGCGAGGATGGAGGGGACGGCTGGGGATTACAAAGGGCTGGAGAGGATTTCATCAGCAGCAGCATTAGTGATTCTGACCGCAGGCCGTGCGCTGCCAGCAGGGAGCCCGCAATGCTCCGGCATCGCAAAGGGGCCCAAAAGACCCCCGGGGAGCTGATGGCACCCACCCCTCCATCCAAGCAGCGTTTGTACAGGGAAACCTGTGTGTGTTTGTTTATTTATGGAGGGGAGGGGTCTAAAGATAGCAGTTCCATCCCAAAATGAGGTAATCCACAGGAACAAGAATCCCTGCGCTGCTTCTCCGCCTGTTACCACTGCTCTCCTGTGGGGCAGCAGCAGTCCCGGCAGCTCGGCGCTGGGCACGGTCTGTGGGCAGCGGGGAGCACCGAGGTGAACATCCCCGCTTTCCTCTATGTTCTCTCCTCTCCTCCCAGCCGGCCGGGCTGCAGGAGCAGCGCACGAAAGAGAGACGGCGGGGCGGGTGGGAGAAGGGCGGGCAGCACACAGCCCTTCCGCCGCCGGAGGCGCCGCCTCAGCCGCCCCGGGGCTCCGCCGCGCACCGCCCGCGCCTCGCGCTCTCCCCTCAGGCACAAAATGGCGGCGGCGCTCAGCGCCTCGTTCCCGCGCGGTGGCGGCGGGGTAGGAACCTTCGCGACGCGGAACTCGCGGACGCGGGGAGCGGTTTCCGGGCCGGCCCCGCCGCCATGGCCGAGGGCTCGGCGGAGCTGGAGCTGTTCCGCCGGCGATGGCGGGAGGAGCTGGCGGCGGGCGGCAAGAAGCGGCGGCGGGAGGCGGCGGAGGGGCCCGGCGGGACGGGGAGGGACGGGTCGGGCTGCCTGGCGTTGGCCTGCGGCCTGCTGGACGGCGAGAGCCCGGCCCCGAGCAGCCCTCCGCCCGCCCGGCCCTGCGAGGAGGCCGCGGGGGAGGAGGCCGACGACCTGCTGGGACAGCTCATCCGCGACCTGGTAGGGCGGGCTGCGGGGCGAGGCCTGTCCTGTTGTGCTGGGGGCCCAGGGGGAGGGCTGGGCCGTCAGAACGTGTGCGATCTGGGGCTGCGTGTGCCCCGTAGCCCTACGGATGGGTTTTTCTTCCTGCAGAGCGGCTTTGCGGCGTTTTGCTTTAAGAATTTAGGTTTCTCTTCTGCGCCTTACTGAAGCCCCTGCAGTGCGGGTGTGTCGGATGTTCCGTGCTGTGACGCTGCTGCGTAGCAGGAAAACAAGCGTGAGTTCTTTGCATAGAAGAGTCAATTGGGAAGGAGCCTTAAATACAGTTCTGAGCCCATTAAAAGTTGTGTTGGTGAATCCTTCAAACGCAGTGGAGTTTTTATTTGCAGCTATGGGGAGACCCGTTTTTCTCACTGTCTTCACTGTGGCTGTTTGCTTTTTACTTAAAAATATATGTATAAATAAAAAAGAGCAGATTAAAGTTCTGCCTGCAAGGCATAGATTGATCTCTGCAAGGAATCAGCTCTCCATTGGCCCCCAGAAACCTGTCCAGGGGGGCAGCAGCCCCAGGGCTGTGCTCCTCCAGTACTCAGCCAGGTCACTGCTGCTCACCAGCACTGATGTTAACACTCTTAATATCCTATTAGAATTGAGTTCTTACGCTTACAGCACACAAGAATTGTGTTCCTGATGCTCACAGTGTGGCTGCACGTTCTCCTGTAGGATAGTTTATAAATCCATGTGACTGCTGTTGTCCTTTTTGCCCTTTTCCCTGGGTGAGCTGTCCTTGCTGCGCCTGTGCTGGCAGGGCAGTAGGCAGTTTGTGTGTCATGTATGTTTGGTACACATGGACAGACTGGGTTCGAGTTGGCTGTGGGTCAGCTCCAATTTGGAAGCGATGTACTCATAGTGGTGCTGTGCCCAAGCCCATAAGCCCAGGGCTAAGCCCTGCTCATGGCTCCTCTCGTTCATTTGGGCTGTGTGGCTCCAAGAGCCAGGCTGGTTCACATCTGCCCAGCTCAGGCTCTGCCTGTGTGTGGCCGTGGCAATGCACTCGGAATCCATTTATTTATTTAGTGTCCCCTTTGGAGATAAAATCAGTTAAAGCCATGTGGAAACAGTGTTTGTGCAAACCTGCAGTGGGGAGCAGTGCCTGTGGGCCTCGTTGGGAGAGGAGAGGAGAAGGGATGCAGCAAGAGGGCCACTGCAGGCTGCCAGCAGCCTCAGCACATGGGCAGGGTTTGGTGCTTAGAGGCTGCTGCTGTCCCCAATGGGAGCAGTGCCCATCTTTGTGCTGTCTGCACACTTGTCTCTAGCATGTGGTATGCTTTGCATTAAAGCCTTTCAGTGTATTATACAATAGTTTTCTTGTGTAACCGTGCGTTAAACAAACCTGATGTTGTCTGTTTTGCCACTTCATTGGCACTGCAAATAGACTTGCTCATTAAGAGCAAGGTGCTCGTGTAGAAGAGACCTGCTGAAAAATAAAGATCTTTGGGCCAGAGAAGTGCTAGGAGTCAGAGTACGATCCCAGCCTGGCTGACTACTGGCATACATGGAAACTGCTGGAGAGATTGTAGAAACACAGCATGGTTGGGTTGGAAGGGTCCTACAGCCCCCCACAACCCCTCCCTGGGCTGGTTGCCCCCACCAGATCAGGCTGCCCAGGGCCCCATCCATGGCCTCAGGGAAGGGGCACCCACAGCTTTTCTTCTGCAGCACTTGAGAAGAGGATGCAGGCACCAGGAAAACAAAACACTGGAGCAAAAATCTTTAGAGTGAGTGACATACAGAAATGTTTACAGTGGCCAGGTTTTGCACTCTCTTTGTTTGTATACTATAGAAACTTTGGAATCTCCGGGCAGAAATGGAGAAAAGGACAAATCTGATGCAAAAATTGCAGGAAGATTTATTAATGAGATAGTTGGAATAAAAAGCCCTGCTAGGATCAGCGTTTCTGCTGCATCTGGCAATTAGACAGAAGCAATGGATTCTTTGGTTTGCAGATGTTACAGTGGTAATGAGGTGAAGCAGTGGCCCTTCCAACATGCTGTGAAGAAAGAAATTGGTGTTATTGATGGACAGAAGTGAACAGCAGCATCTTTGCTTGGTTTTATATCAAAATATTCCTTCACTTTCCATCATCTGTTTGGTCTTTTTTGACACTGAAACCTTAGAGAAATAGTTGTGTTACAGCTTGCCTTGCCTTTCTGTGCCATGTGATTACAGATAAGCCTTATAGTTCTCTTTGATATGCTCTTTAGCTCCACTTAGCAATGTAATATACTTTGTCCACTGTGGCTCAGAGTGAGCAGACTGTTGCTTGGGTGCTGTCATGCCAGCATGACCTGTCTGACGTTGTGCCCTTAGGAGTGGAGAGGGGGGATTACTTCTGCCTTTATTATGGAGCTGTGATGGCACTGAGGATACAGTGATCTTTCTTTATACCACCATAACTTTTGCTACTATTTAGCTATGCAATAAAGAAGACTAACAAATTATTTTCTTTCTTTTTGTTTTTCCAGAATGAAATCAACGAGGTTCCTTTCTTTGATGTCCATCTGCCGTATGAACTGGCATTGAAGATATTTCAGTATCTGGGAAAGGCTGAACTGGGAAAGTGTGCTCAGGTAAGCAGTGCTGGCAGTTTGCTTTCCACATCAAATGAGCACGTGTGCTCAAGCAGCAGTAGGGCACTGTGATGCAGGGAATGTGTGTGTTAGTCCTAGTGGCTCAGCTGGTTGTAGTTACTGGAAATTCTTCCTAAACTGCATATTGAAGAGTAATATTAATTGAGCTGGATTTATAGCCTCCAGTCAAGTATAGCTAACCCAAACATTTGTGACTTGCACATAACCAAGACCTTACAATTTAAAAGAAATGCTTGCAAAGATCTTTTAATTCAAGCAAGTGTGGTCAGAAGCAGGTGACTGTGTTGCTGCAACACTGAGAGCTCAGCACTTAAGAATGGCAATAAAGCTGCTCCCCCCAATACTTCTCAGTTGACAGATGTTGTAGAGTAACAGCTTTTTGTCTTTAGTAGTTTCATGCAAAGCTAAATTCTTAAATGATGCTGATTTCCTGCTTCCTTCCCCTGCTTTATATCATTCTGTGGCGTTACTCTGTGATAGCACTTTCACCAGTGTGTTCTCTGATGTAGTTCTCATGTCACCACTAACTGCCTCTCTCTCCAAGTGGCCTTACTAACTTACACACATCCAACTGTACTTAGACTACTGATCTGCTCTTCTTGAGCCTCTGTCTCCTTTCTCTGTGCAGTAAAAGATGAACCTCCTCTCTGAATGAGTCTCCAAAGCAAACTTAAATCAGCAAGTGCTGATTACCCTGTAAAATAGTGTTGTGAATGTGAATTGCCAGCTTCTCCCATCATCGCTGTTTAGTGCTTCAGGCAGGTGTTCATTGAACTCTTATGTACAAAACACATCTTGCTGCTGCTTAAAATCCAATCAGAATGGTTCTTTCTGTGATACTGGAAATACTCCCTAGACAGTTTGTTAGATAAAGAAATGTTGATGTGTACAACAGGGTAAAGCTTTGTAGTGGATGGCAAGTTTACTGCAAGTGTTAACTGAATGACGTGCACTGAAATTAAATTGGTCTGAGCAAGTCACAGTTTTAAGTAGTTATGGGTCTTTATTGCTTAAATCTTTGACTTGTTAATGCCTTGTAGGAACAGGAGCTGCTAGAAGAGAAGTACTTCCTCTCGTGGGGCTGCTGTGCAAAGGAAAAACATTCTTTGGAGTGATTCTTGGTGCTGTCTAGAAGAATGAAGCTTTTAAACAGCCTGAGTTTCAGTCATTTGATACAGGGAGATACAACCAATTAAGGCCCCATTCCACAAAATGGAACGGGATTGCATTTGGGGAGTGGATTACTTTTAGTTTAGTCTCTCTCTTTTGTTTCTCTCAGGCATGATCAGTTTACCTTGTGGTGTAGCAAAAAGCTTGGCTGCTACAGGGCTGCTCCTTTTCTCTGCACTTGAGCTGCACTCAGTTTCTCTCACATTTGTTTTAAATTTGAATCTGTTCTCAGAAGATGTGTTTAACACTCAGCAGATTTTCCACGTTTCTCATTTGCTTTCGAAGACTGAGTCAGATGCTCCTTTGTGGCAGCTGACAGGTAGCTGAGCACATGCCCAGTGCTTTACAAGGCTCTCTGAACGAGATGGATATCCAATGCTTTTAGTGCAGAGCTGGCTTCTTTTGACGTGTTTAAATAAAAAGCGGAGCAATAAAAATAAATGCCATTTTCATTTTTCTCTTGGTGATTTTGTCTTCTGAAGGGAGGCGGGGGAAAGCCCTCTTCTGTTAAATGGAAAGCCCTGCTGCTTTACGTTGTTAGCTTAGAAAGGTTTTTTTATTAAGGCGCCTTGGGACTTTAGTGAAATTGGGCCAGCCAGTGGAATTGGCATTGTGAACTGTGAGAGTGCCTTTGGACAAAACCTGTTTGCTTAGTTCTTTAAGCCAAATTGGTAACAAACTAACAGTAAAGTAGCGTGACTGCAGAGTCTCTTTGAGATTTAATCACATCAGACTGCTCTGGAGAAGTTTAATTTCACCCTGATATTTCCCCCTCCCCCTCTTCCCCACAGCTTTTCTTTGATTTTTGGAATTAGTACCATAAAACACAAGCTATCTGTATGACACTTGGAACACTGAAGCCATGTGCAGCACATCAGTTAGTGGTGTCATCTGTTCCTGAGCTCTGGTGGGTGTGCAGTACCCGTGTGATACCCACTGGAGTAGACCAGTCCCTACTGATATCCCCTATTTTCAGCGAGCAGAGAAAGTGTCTGGGGCTCAGTGTCTCAGCAGCATTGCAGTGCTTTTTCTCCCAGGTTTGCACTTCTCCTACTGGACAGTTAGGAGAACCTTTTGATTTATTTATTTTTTGTCTGGCTGTTAGAAGAAGGATCCATGCAATGGGTGACTCTTGGACTGCTGTGATGAGGATTTGAGAACAGGTTCTCCCTCATTGTGGTTCTAATGTGGAGGAAAAAAGGGAAAACAATCACCTGGGCCACTATGGCACGTGGAATATATGAGAACCCTTCATGTTATTTGGGGCTGGTTCTGCAGGGCTTTGCTCGTGGCCTCAGCGTCTGGCCTCAAACTGTCAGCTTTAGGATAAGGTGATGTGTCCGGTGTGTGAAGCTCTGTGCTCTTCAGTTGTGTTACTGCTCTCTAGTAAATACCAGAGGATGCATAAATTACATTTTGTGGTGGGAAACACTTCTAGACAGCGTGTATTGAATTTTAGCAACACTACGGCAGAGTTCTATTTCTGAACAGATCAGTGGGAAGTTGTCTTTGAACTGCTGGTGTTCTCATCTGAGAGACACTTGGAAATGTTTACTAACACAGCAATTGTGTATGTATCTAGGACAGGAGAGCCTGTTTCTAGGAATTTAAGAATGAATTGTCTTGCACAGATCAAGAATTTCAGATGCTTGCTGTTAAAGTGTCTGGAATTGTCGAACGTTCAAAAATCTGAAAAATAAAATCTTAGGTATTTTATGTTCATACTTTTGTATCATGATCGTGTACAAATAATCACCCACTGTCCTCTCAGCTAGGGGAGAGAGAGCAGAGAAAGGGGTGGGTGAGGATTTCCTGAGCTCAGGGCTTAGGATGAGACCTAAAATAACATTATGGCTGCGAATTGAAAAGATGAGCAGCTTCCACCTGGTAAATGTGCATCTGAATGGCTTTGGCTGAAATAGTACTTGGCACTAAGTATTGTACTGAATTGAAAGTCCAAATACTTCAAAATGAGGCCCCCGGATTCAACAAATGAACCTTGAATCTATCTTTGTGTGACCAGAGAAGAAAACAAACCTAATGAAGCAAAGGCAGTTATCAGATGGGGAGGGATGAATAAACCTTCATTAGGATTTAAGCCAGTTGATTAAGACAGGATTAGAAGAGTTCAGGATTCAATGGAAGAGGTGGATTTCTTTGGTTACTTTGTTTTGCTTGCTTTTGCAAAAACAAGTAATAATAATAAAAAAATCCCCAGACACAAAACCAAACAGCAAAACCGATGTCAGCAAAAGCCTCTGAAGTCCTTCAGAGCATTATTCCGTGCTGAACTCCAGACACAAAATTGTTCCTCTGCAGAGCTCAGGGGAAACCAAAGTTGCTTTGAGAATCATAGTAAAACGATAACAGGAACGCTAATGACAAAATTAAATTGCAGCCTCTAAATCTATAAACAACCCCATAAGATGTTGTTATTGATCACTGTAGGAGCTGGCATGGAGTGTAAATTTGGAAATAATTATGTCTGTCATTTCAGAAGAGCTTTGTGTGCAACAGCTTCTCTCCAACAAACAGAATGCGTGGGTGCATGCAGATGAAGCTGTGATGCTGTGGCTTTTGGGGCCTCACCTGAAACCCCGAGTCAGGCAGCTCCAATAAAGCTGACTTGGAGCCAATGGTTGGTTTTAATGTGGCAGCTCACAGTGGTGCTGTAAAGCAAAATGCTCGAGATACTTTTATTAGAGGGCTCTTGCAGCTGAGGCTCGCTCAGTGGGGCTTTTACAAGGGATTGCCATGCCAGTTTTGGTGTGTTAAGAAAAGGCTGTGTTAGGGACCCGTTGGAAAGTCGTGCCTGTAAAGCAGCAGGATTTGATGTAATTTGATTTAGAAAAAAAAAAAAATCATAATAGGATAGGATCTCTATTCCCCTTGAATGTTTATTCCTGAAAGCTGAATAGACATCTAGATTTTATGTGATTGTCTTCCCCTTCTCCTTTTTTTTTTTTAATTGTCTTTATGGAATACTTTTATGGCCTTGAAACCAGAAAGGTCTGCACAAACACTGTCTGCCTTGGCAAACTCCAGTGTTGTTTTTCCTTTTTATTAATTTTATTTTTTTCCAATTAAAGCAAGCAAAAGTGGGCAGAGTTGGGCTTGGTTGAGTTGATGTACAGACAGAAGCTGCTTCGTGGTTGTCAGCAGCAGCGTGCTCCTTCTGAGGCCAGGAGAGGGACCTGTGCTGCTAACCGAGCTCTGCTGGACTCTCTGCTGCTTCGTGGGGACACCAAACACTGTGTTTTTCCTTTGAGCAGTAACATGTGGGTTTACGTTGCTTTAAAATCAATTTCAGAGCAAATTCCCCATGAAACTCCAGCAGTTTGAATATATATATATATATATTTTTACTTTGAGCTTCCTGAGTGTGTCCCTGCAGCAACAGAAGCATTACACAAGTTTTTGCTTTTGTAGCACACGATGACACACAGTGCAGGTACCCAGTATTGGTAATTTGTAAGGCAGCATTGTTCTAGCCAGGTTGCTTGCTTTGGTGGTGGAGAGGGGTTGTGTGTCTTTTGAATGTTTTGGTGGCTGAGTGGAATTGTGGAATGCTAGCTGCTGGGTTTGGGTATTCCTGTTTGACAGCTGCTCTTGTGTGCAGGTATCAGATCCTAAGATACCTACAGGTTGCTCTTCTTTTTACTTTCTCTCCTGAAAGAAACCAGTCATGAAACATGATGCAATTCTTCTTTCCTAATGGGACAGGATGTTGGATTTTGAAAGCACGACTGTGATGTGTGTCTTACTGCAACAAGCCCAATGGAGGCAGCACAGTGTAAATAAACCAGCCAGAAGCTTCATAGTGCTCTCAGGGGCACGTCCTGAGTCAGTGCTGCTGGTTGCTGAGCACATGTCCTGCTGCTGGGGCACTGTGAAGCATGCAGGGACTTCTTGCAGCCCTGCACCAGCTGCAGGGTTCTCACACCTTCAGTGTTCCTCCTAACCTATACCACTTTGTGAGGCTGTGCTTTGTGTTTAACAGCTGTGTTTCTAGCAGGGCTGGAGCAAAGCATGCGTGTTGATAACAAAATATAAAGGGGGTTAATTTTATTAAACAGGGGGTGAGTAATGTAGTTAATTTCTTCCTTCTGTGCTATGTTGTGTCAGCGTGGAAGCAAGGGCAAGTAGACATGGGGTGATGGGTGCTGTGGGGTTCTGTATCAATGCAAGACCTAGATTTTTGGTGTAATCTTGGCACTGAGGACTTAATTGTAAGCAGCTAAAAATGATGTCAGCCCAAGAAGTTTTTGGGTTTTTTTTAGTCTTCTGGAAACAGTGTCCAATTGATTACTGCTTTCACTGGCAGCAGTTTTCATCGGTTAAATTTGTTGGTTTTGTTTTTTTTTTTTTAAATTAAGAGTTACAAAGTACAGATGCTACTTAAGTTGCCTCTCACCTCTTGAATCTTTAATTCTAAGCCCACAATTGGTTATGATGAAGCGGCTTTCTCTGAAATGGACAGCAACTTGAGGCCACTTGAAAAACTTAATAATTCATTCCTATTTATGCATACTGTAATACAATAGGTTATAAATCACTAATGTCAGCCAGCCTAATCAGGCATTGTCAGTAGGGTGGTGGCGTGATCTGCAAGCTTTTCATAACAACAAATGTGAAAATAAACTCATATTTTTGCTAAAAGCTTACAATGCTGCCTTAATTGTTTTCTTGTTCCCTTTCGTTTCCAAATTTTCTGTGGTGCTTATGTCAGATGTTAGCAATGTGGCCACCAAATGCTGGTATCTGTGTTTTGTGCAGTTTTAGCAGAGCGGAATCTGAGTATTTTGACCAAGTTTTTCTCAAAAGAATCAACAGAAATGTTATGAGTTGTTTTAGAATAATCATAGAATAATCACAGAATGGCCTGGGTTGCAAAGGCTAACAGTGCTCATCCAGTTCCAACCCCCTGCTGTGTGCAGGTCGCCAACCAGCAGCCCAGGCTGCCCAGAGCCACATCCAGCCTGGCCTTGAATGCCTGCAGGGATGGGGCATCCACAGCCTCCTTGGGCAACCTGTTCCAGTGCCTCACCACCCTCTGTGTGAAAAACTTCCTCCTGACATTTAGTCTAAACTTCCCCTGTCTCAGTTTAAAACCATTCCCCCTTGTCCTATCACTGTCCACCCTCATAAACAGCCATTCCCCCATTTTATACAAAATCTGACATGATTTAATGTGAGATACGTATGTATGTTTGGCTTCCAGGTCAGCAGAACGTGGAAAGTGCTCGCAGAAGATGAAGTGCTGTGGTACCGGCTGTGCCAACAGGAAGGATACCTGTTGGATGTGAGCATCTCTGAGCGGCCCTGCTGGAAGCTCGCCCTGAAGGACTGCCGTGCCAAAGAGCGTGCTCTGCGAACCAACTGGAAGGTAAAAGGGAGAGATTGGCTTAATGGGATCCAGATGCTGGAGAAAAATGGGAACCTGGTTCAAACAAGTGGCGGTGAAAAGCTGGTCTTCTGTGTTGCAGCTTCTTTTGGCTAGTTAAAAGGGGAAAGCTGCTGAGGGATTTATGAGACTTTGCCCCAGCTGTAAGACTTCTTATTTTCTTGATGGTTAAGATTCCCAAGATGCTTTTGGGAATGAGTCTTTGCTTGCAGCTCTATTCCCATAACTTTGGTGAAAGATGGTTTTACTTCATCCATCCTTTGGTATTGACTGTCAACCTTTAAGATGAAGGCTTCTTCTCTGTTCATTACATATCCTGGCAAAAAGAAAGGTATCATTTCTTTGATGTCATGGTTACGTTTCTCTGCTTAATGATTACAAATGATAATGGTGACTGATGACTTCTTTCTCATTCTTTTTCTGTCTGTAAACGTTGCAGGAGGCAAGCATGAAATACACAGGTCTTCTCTCTCAGCTGCACAGCAACTTGTCAGCAGCAGTAGGAAAGCTCAAAGCTTTCCTATCTGGAAGCAAACAAACTTGGTAGACAAATTAATTGCAATACTAGTAGCAAGTCTTGTCTTTCTGTGCAGAACCGCAGTGGTGCTGTGAGTCAGCTGCAATACGAGCTGGGAAAAATCCTGTGTGATGTACATTCTTGTGATGGAGTTGTTATTGCTGGGTGAGTATGACATTGTGCAGTGCTCATTTGCTCTTCACTGTTAGAAATCTCATGCTGCTTTCTGTGCAAATTCAAAAGAAGTTTCAGGAAAGAAGGGTGATTTTTTTTTTTTTCCTTTGGCCCTATGGCAAGCAATAATTACAGGCATCTACAAATCACTTCAGCAGCACAAGTTTTTGTTGTAATGCTATCTCAGGTAAGTATAGTCCTTGTAAAGCCTTTACTTTCCAATGAATTGTATCCATTACTTTGCTGCAGAAACACTCAAAGTGAGGCTGATGTGTATTGGGAAATGCTTGGGAAAAGAGTAATAACTTTTCTTCTATGAAACTGTTTTGATCACAAAGATAGGTGTGTCTTGGAACAAGATACATTTAGGCTTGTTACTGTTTTCTACTATTTTTTAAGAGACGGTATGGAGGAAAAAAAAACATGGAGAAATTCAACTTCCTTTTTTTCAGTGTTAAACTTTGTCGGAACTGTGACTTAGTGATAGTTATTCACTTCTCTTATTCTTTCAAAACTGTTTTAAAACCATCCCAAGCTCTTGGCAGAGGTTGCCATGACTCGCATAGGTTGCCATGACTCGCACCAGTTGAAGTAAAGTTTTGCTGTATTCTGCTTGCATTCAGTAATTATTAGTCCTGCAGGAGAAGTCACACTAGTAAGTAGAAATGAAAACATCACAGGGCAGAGGACACTGTCCTTCAACATACCAGTTCTGTATTTTATGATACCACTCCACGTTAATGGCATGATTGTGCACTGTGGAATGAAAGGAAAACTGCCTGTAAAGTACTGTAAAATTCACTCATCAGTTACAGGGAAGGTGACTTGAAATACATCATCTGTAGGTAACTCCCATATACCTTAGAACCCTTTTGTATTCTGTTGGGCAGCTAGGAGCTGATATGTAACCTAGCAGATAGCAGGAATGAATGGAGGATTTTAAGCTTTATTGGAATTACTGTTGTTTCTACTGTTTACTAGATGCTTTCCCACTTGCCATACTACTTCACTTGAAGGTCTTGTTTCATGTTCTTTGCTGCCCTGTTGTCTCACTGACTGTTGCTTCTCTTTCTCTACTTTCCATGCAATGAAAAGGTGTCTGCCAAAGATGCATGTGGTCTGTGACCTCTGGAGGGGTAGTGCCACACAGTGGTTAACCCAGACAGTGACTGTGTGAAGAGGCTTGAGAAACTGCAGCTGTATAGCAGGTCTCACCTTGGCTCCTGCCTGATGTTGAGGCTTCCCTTGGCCACAGAGGCTTTGGTAAGACCCTCACAGGTCCCCAGGTGCTGAGGCTGCAGCTGGGACCCAGTTCTGCAGAGAGCATCCTGCCTTCCTTTGTGCCCTTCAGCCTGGGCACTGTGCTGCCTGGCCTTGGCTAGGGGTCTGCTCTACTGTATCTGCTCTGCTGTCTCTAATGAAACCTCCTCTACTTTTTTTCAGAGCCAGAAACCCCAGTTGTCATCACACTGCTGCCAAAATCTCCAGCTCTTCTTTTTCTTCATTTTCTCCATTGTGTTTATACATCCAAACAGGCAGCATATAGAAAGTAGGCAGAATAAATTTAGTTTCTAAAGGATTAATAAACAAAGGAGATTAATCCTGAGAATTAAACTCAATTGTCCGTACATTAGCCTGGTATATTGCAGAAGTCAGGCTGAGGTGGTTTCAGACAAAACATTTGTGTTGGTTCCCAGCTCTTGCAGTACTCATAAGTGCTGGTGAGTTGTCCTTTGTTGGCAAAGTGAAAGGAGATGGGGAACTGACATTCCCACGAAGTTCACAAACATAGGTGAGAGACAACAAAGGGAAAAGTGGTTTAGGGTTTTCATTCCAATTACTTTTCAGTGATTTTCCTTCTTTAAGAAAACAAATTTTAAGAACGAAGTATCCTTTTATGGAGCTGTGACTATACAGTTGATAGAACAGCATGGGGAATTTAGATTTCAACTGTTTGACTTTACTGATTGCTAAAATAAATATTTAGAATATTAGAACACAAAAATTATATGACTTCCATGGGTGTTTACCTCTTCCCCCTCATGCTTCTTTGATAGCTCAGACCTCTGAAAGCATCTCATAAATTGCTGTGACCTGAAAGCTGTTCTGTTTCTCTTGCCCAGAAGAAGGTGAATTTGTTGTTTTACCAGTGATGATCAAAGCCTACAAGACAATAGCACACTGCAGTCACCTCAGAAATATCTTAAAAACTATCCAGCTAATTTAATAAGGTGGAACTGTAAGAAAATATGAGTGCTGTTATGAACGCTGGAAGTATCTGATGCCTGAAATGTCTTCAGACTCACATACAAGTCATTGTTACCCAGCACTTCTCTCATCTTGTGATTTTCACAACCTGAGAGAATGCACTTTTCAGGACTGAGATTTGCAGTTCATCTGTCAATGAATAATGAAATATTTTTTTGGCAGGTCTCCAGCATGCCCTCCTCCAATTTGTTTTTTGTTAGTTGCATTGCTTTGGTAAAAATTTGCAGTAGTAAAGAACAAACAAAACAGGCATGGTTAAAACCTGTGAGGATGTGAGTTGGTTGTGCAGGGAAATGCTTTGTTCTTTACGTACATTTGGTAAGAATTTAGCAGACTGAAGGGTTTTTGTTTTGTCTTTTAAACCCAAACATCACCCACCCCTTTCTCTTCCAACTGTAGTATTGTACTTAATGGCACTGTGCTTTCAAATTTGTCATAAAAGTGTAATGAATCTAGTGATCAATAGCTCGCTGTTGCATTCTTATAGTATAGAAGAAGTAATTTAATAGCTGAGGTTAACAAAAGTCAATTTTCTGCTCAGTATAAATATCAATTATCTGTTACATTTAATGATTATATCTCTAGTTTCGCACGCACTTATGTGCCTAGCTTTACATGTGAATAATCATAGATTACAGCAAGATTTGTCATGTGCATAAAGCTGAAGGGATGTGTGACCTTGCAGGACTGGAGAAATTGGTGGTGATCTTACAGCTAAGTTGGCGTATTGCATTTTATGTGGATTTGTCAGCAGTGGTTTGTGGCATCATTCACCTTTTTTTTTTTTTTTCTTTTCTTTCTCTAGACAGGTTGCTGCCCTGGAGAAAAATAGGGCCACTCAGTTGTGAGCAGGTTTTCTGATGCCTGACTTCGGGGAGCAGCTGCAGCACTGTGTCTGAGCACGGCCAGGCCAGCCAGGCATTACAGGCTGCTTTGTCACTGGGAACTGTGGCACTGCATAGCAGCTGCTCCCTGCTTTCCAGAGGTGCAGTCGGGATCTTGGGAGATCAGAGAATGGTTCTAAAAATTAAAATTAAAAAAAAAAAAAACAACAAAAGGAGAGGAGTCTTGAGAGAGAGGTTTTCCAGCAGAAATATCATGTATTTTGGACCTTGGAACAAACCTGGGAAAAATGGTATTTGATCTGAACCTGCACTGTAATAGACCTGATCTTTCATGCTTCATTATACTGCTTCAAACTCCGCAGGAAAACAGAGTGATGCAGCTTTATTTTAGTTGCTGTAGAGTTGTTTTAATCTTTCAAAAAGGGAATTTGTACAGGTTGTGGACAGAGTGATTTATAACACTGGCTGTGAGTGTAACCCATAGAGACATAGCTTGCCTGAACTGGTCCCAGAGTGGATCTCTTTAATAATCTCTTGCAAAGAGGCAAAGATGAGCTAGACAGGGTTGGCTCTCCCTTAGAGAAATGTGCCTGTTTTCTTGCACTCTTCTGTATTTTTTCCATGCTGCTGCCAAAGCTCAAGCCAGAAGATGGCAGAATATCAAGGATTGATTAAGTGCAACCTGAGCTGTGAGTTGAAGGTGGCTGCGAGCAGCTCTTCTTTCTCAGAGAGCCTTGCATTTACTGGCTGACATCAGATAATTCAATCTGGCCTGCATGCAGAGCATCTTGTGTTTATCATTAAATTTTTATCCCGGCGGTTACGATGCTTGTTTTCTGGGTCAGACCTTGAATCCCTTTTCATTTGAGACAGCGGTGTTTGTGGTTACCTCACTCCCAATCAATGTTGTATTTGCCAGCCTTTCTACAGTTACATGTCTCAGAGGATCTTCTTTAAAGATGTTGTCTTCCCCCCCCCCCCTTCCAATCCATATTCAATTCAAATGTAGTTTCTTCTTTAAGTCAGAGTTTACTTAAAGCAATTATATGCCTGCTTACTCGGCCTGTATAAATTACTACCATTGCTTAGGTTCACTGTACTTAATGCAGCTGTGTGCTTGGTCTCAGTACAGAATGCCTGCATTTGTTCACCTTCCATTAATAAAATCTTAATCAAATCAGAGTTCTTTAAGCAAGAACATATTCAAACAGTGAAATCAGTACTTCTTCCTCTCAGCAGTGTTGACAGACACACTGTGATGGCTGTTTGTAGTCAGAGTTTAGCTCCTCCTTGAGATACAGATCTTGGAGCATGAATCTGGCCAGCACTTGTTGAGCTGCTGTGTTCTTACATGGTGGATCTCATGGTGAAACATCAGAGGTGAGCTGTGGGCTGTTCTGCTGCATGGCTCTCTGAAGTCCTCACCTGTGGATGTCCCAGAGCTGTGCAGTAAGTTGCATTTCACACACCTGAGCCAAGTCCACATCAGTCCACATCATGGCTGATGTTTTATTGGGCACTTTGTTAACTTTGATGCTTGCAGAGAGGGCAATTTGGCTTTACTGCTGCAGTTTGTGTCTCTGAAAGCTTTCCAAGTGAAAGTAACAGCAGTGATCCATAGTAAGACTGCTATTCCAAAGGCACAGAAATATAACAGTATCGGATGCTTTTTCTTTCCTCAGTTTTCTTTGAATGAAGTGTGGTAGACTGTTAAGGGTTTTCATAAGTGGAGATCTAAGGGCATGCCTGCATTGTTACCTATTTAGACCTATTTAACAGGTGCTGCATGGAGCCTCTGCACCTCTCCCAGGCAGGCTGGGAGTCGCCCCTGCCTTCTTCTCTTCGTGTTTTAACCTCAGAGGGTTTCCACATTCTCCC